CCCACACACACACACGTACACACGTACGCAGATTGAGATAGATAGATACAGACAGACAGACAGACAGACAAAGGGAGAACAATAGATAGAGAGAAGAAATAGGGAAACAGAGAGATCATAACCTAAAGAGGTCTCTTCTGTAAAGGATGATACATGATCCTCGGCCTCTTTCCCTTTGTGGTAGTGGGTTACAGGGAAGGGGAGGAAGGGGAAAGGAAGAAGGGATAGGTTTGAGAATGAGGTCGAGGGTCTCAAATGAAAGCAGGATCGTCGGTTCCACACCACAAAACGTGCAGTGGACGTGTGTGACAATGTGACAACAGCATTATCAGCCACTCAAGGTCGTGCGTGCTAGAAATTTAATCCTGTCAGAGGGTCCATTTTATTCTTATTCATTATTCTTTGAACGGAAGTGATACGACTGTCTCTTCGCTGTTTCTTTTTCCGTCTTTCGCGCACTTTTCATAAGTGATTTTCGCTCACCTGGCCTGGTGTAAAGAGATTCTTTCTGACATGGGTGTGTATATTATTGTTTTTCAGAGAAAAAAAACCCCTTTCGTTCATCTCCGCGCTAACTATATAATCAATTATCTATATCTCTATACTATATTAAATTGTGAAAGTTTGTCACTTTGGCCGCCTAAAAGTTCCGAACCACTTAACTTTCGAATTTGAATAAAATCAAAGATGGTTCACAATCATTTAAAGGGAGCACATTTATATTAAGGAGTATGAAGTCAGTATAGTTTAACTTTTGGTTTTTCTTTATTTTCGTTCAGATCTAATCTTGGGAAAGTCCGTCTTCTTAGACGCCATTGTAAACAAGTGGGGCCTCTGTTCACAAGCAGTGCGCCACTGATTCCACACCTTAGAAATTATGTAGTGTACAAACACAAAAGCGGAATAAAGGATTAATCTTTTGATTATTATATTATATTAGTGAAAGTTCGCCATTTTGGCCGCCTAAAACTGAACTTTCGAATGTGAAAAATCTAATAGTGGTTCGGAATCATTTAAAGGGTGCACAGTTTTATCGAGGAGTCTGAAGTCACCTGTAGTTTAATTTTCAGATTTTTGCCTACATCTCTCTTTCAATTGATTATTTGCAGATTTTTCTCTTGCATACATATTCCTCTAGCGGTGATTGTGTTTTCTTGTTCTGTTTCTTTTAGAGGTGTGACTTTCTAATGTTATCTTTGAATTGTGTGTTTCGTGCAATTCATTCAATAATAACTGAAAGGGGGCGAGGGTAGGGGGGTTGGATGGGTAGGAGAGGTCGAAGGGAGGAGTGAGGGATGAAGGGGGGGGGGGGTGGGGGGGGGGGAGGGTTGAGAGTGGCCGAATTGTTAGCGAGCACAGGCTCACGAATGGTTTTAATCAATTTTGGACAGTAGTCATTAGGGTGTGTCCTTCGGCGAGATTCGGTAACCCCAGCTCAAACCAATTTGCTGCACATTACCGACCTGAGACTGCGTGTTTGCAAAGTTGTCATGTGAAATACAGTATGTTTTGTAAAGCAAATGTCATTAAATGAACTAGTAAAAGCACCCGTTCTACGAATGGAATAATAATGAAGATCTATTAGGAAAGTTAAGAAGAGGAAAAATACTGACATAGATCTAGATCTACACACTGAACACAAAATATCATTCGGCGCAGTTCGGCGTGTGCGCTAAATCCACTGCAAGAGAAATCTACTTTCAATACTTCCATGACTGTTTATCTTGATCTAGATCTATATACTAGACACATGCGACTACACACAGGGCGTAAACCGGGCTACGATTGGCTGAACCTTTGACTTTGACCCATGAATACATTAAGTAGACCTACGGTAGTCTACTCTTGGCGCTTTCGAAGACACCCTCCCTGTCACTCTCACCACCCTCCCTCTGCAGTGCTTTCTGGCCTCCTCTATCTCTTCCTTTCCCTCTCTTTCACTCTCTCTCCCTTTCTCTCTCTCTGTCTGTCTCTGTCTGTCTGTCTGTCTGTCTGTCTGTCTGTCTGT